AGGTTTTAGAAAGAAGTCTATTTGACTATATAAATTGGAAACTGTTGGTTGAAAGTTCCAAAGCGCATTTTCTGAAGGTGAAGATTTTATTAACAAAGAGTACAAAAATGATATGAAAAAATTCCGGGTCAAAGAGTATTCACACTTGTTAAAACCAGAGATCATTGTGTACAGATTTGAGAAAGGTACTTAATTGTATATTAGTTAGAGTACTTTATTGTATATTAGTTAGAAGTAGTCTACGAACACTCAGACACAGGATATAAATATCAAAGCACCTCCTGGGCTTTACCGATATTATCAAGCAATGGAGAAGAGATCTTAATAATATTAAATTATTCTATAAATAAATCTTTATAATATCTTTATTATCCCCTCAGGTGAGTTCTTTAGTAGTTATAATGAAAATAGCATTATTGAGCCTTCCTAGATAATCTCCATTTATACTAAACATTCTGGTCCAAGTTTTCTTAACTCGTACTAGAGATGACTTCAACTTAACAGGAATCTAAGCTATAAGTGAGAAAGAATTAGGATACAGAATATAAGACCTAGATGAGTAGAAGAAAAGTCAGTAGAATACTAGCTAGAAAAAGAAGAAGTGTCAGACAGTGGGCTAGTATGGAGAGAGGTAGTAAGGTGCCAGGTAGTAAGAAGCAGTAAAGTGAATATTAGTCAGAAGAGAAGAGTTGGTAGTAGAATACCAGCTAATTGCAACTATAGAGAGAAGAAAGGAGAGATAGACCTAAATGCTGAAACAACTATTGAAAATATGTTTGTATCTTTCTAGGTAGTATATTTAAGTTTCCAATACCCAGAGGTATATTTTTACTTCTTACATATAATTACTTATTCTTTGATCCATAGAATTACTTAGTAGATGAATACCACCACCTCTGAAGGGTAAAAAGGAAGAAGATAGTAAAATTGATAATAGTCTATTGAGAGGACCAAAAATACCACTTAATTTCGTTAAGTAAGATTATAGCAAAGATTAGGAAGAAAAGAAAATGAATCTCATGAGACATTGGAGAAAGTAAAAACAGGGTCTTAAGAGGGTAGACCTTAAGAGAGAAGGTAAGAGCAATATCCTATCATGATGGGAAGATGGAAAGATATGACTCAATTTCCCTCATAAGAGAGTAATGAAATATAAAACATGATAAGAAAAGACTATAGTATTGAGGTCTTCCCAAATAGGAAATAAATTTCAATTACTGAAGATATAGAGAGATAGAGAATATACAGTATAATAAAAAGAGTGCTATCTTTATTATGTGATAGATAATTGTAGTTTGTAAATACTTAGAAATAGAATAAAATATTGAGGGGATCAATAAAAAGGGGGATTCAGCCAATACTGCACTAAAAATAACTTACTTAGTAAGCTGTAATTTACGAATAGCCTGTTGGTTAAAACTATCTGTATTTTGATGCCTCCCCGATTTTATATATATTAAGATGCCTGTTGAACCATATTGATATTGCTAAGTAATGGAGAAGAGATTTTAATAATATAATAAGTTCTTACTCAAGTCTTTATTACTTTATTACTTTCCCTTACTTGTAAGTTCTTAGTAGTCAAAAATGAAAAGAATATTATGAAGCCTTCCTAGTAAAATCTTTTATTATAATAATGATTTTGGCCCAACTCTCTCAAAGTCTAGTAATGTAATTCACTATAATCAGACACATGTCCATGAGCTGACACACAAGTCTTACTGAAATTCCTAGTAGAAGAGAAAGTTTGAAATTGAGGCAAGCAACCTAAAAACAACCCATAAACCTAGAGACCTGAAAAAATAGAAATAAGCAGTCAAACCAGTACTATGAAAAATGTTAGTAAAAGATGAAAAGTAGATAGGAGGTTGGGAGACTGAAGACCTTAAAGTTGGAAGCAAGAAAAAGCAAGAGAAATACTATTGCATGTGAAAATGAAGTAACATATGCCAGGAGTGGTCAGGAAGTGGTATCTTCAGTTTTACTGCAAGGTGATAGGGCTTTGGAAGTTGGTGGGAATTTGGAGGTGGTGAATTTCAATCGTTATCACTGAGCTGCTTGGTATCACTAGCTTCAAAACCTAGATCAACAAAGACAACTATTAGTGTATCACCAATTATTACCTCCTGTATCAGTGAAAGAGGAGTGTAAATAGGAGGAGGTGATAGTGTTTTCCTTTGTCTTTAGATAATAGTTTTTTCTGTAAAAGCACACTTAACCTTAGGTGTTGGTAGAGGTGGTTTTTTTTTTTTTTACCCTTTACAAGTTGAGTATCTTGTAGTCATATAAGCTTAGCTCTGCCTAAAATACAAGCCACTGTTAACTGCTTGTTTTCTGTAGTATTGCAGATCATTTGAGTACCTTGGACCTTGTAGTTCGATTCAATGTAAATATCTTTTTCTTTAATTTCTGTCTCAAGCTGATGGCCTAAATCTCATACAATTTTATGAACTCAATTGTGTACTGTCTTTTCCTCTTTCGTTACCAAGCTTAGTAATGTTAGGCTATCAAGTACTACCTATTCAGATTTTAAGCGGCCTCAAATGTCTCAGGCAGTTGGTAGGACATAGACCAAATCAAAAGTATCACGACATCTGAAAGTAGCAGGTACCATCTTGCCTAATACTTGATAGAGGTTGAGTGGCCATATTCCAGTCACTGTAAATGGTGGCTGAATGCTCATATATTGCATAGTCTTATTGCGTGCTTCAATAAGAAAGGGGTTGAACGCCCCCATTTGGATTTCCTCTGAATCTTGACCTGAACGAAGGTACTTATCTACTAATAGCCCATACCAGTTCTGATATGGATGGAAGAGCCCAATATCTAGTGGTAGTAATAGGTGTATAGAATGAGCGGGTAAACAAAGAAGTAGGATATTATAATCAAGACAGAATTGAACAAATTCAAAAGTATTCTGAGATCCATGACTATTAAAGATCAGAAGGCGTAGTGAGCCAATCCCAGCTACAATTGCAAATTCAGGTTCAAAAAGATGAGTTAACTATTGCAAAGCTGACCGATCATCAGTTTACTACCCATTTGGTGAATAGATGAATTGATACTTTTTCTTCCTTTCTGTCAGGTTCTTATACTATCCCAGATAGTGACCAGCTCTCTTATTAATCATAAAAAATACTAATGAACTGCCAGATGCAAAAACTGTCTCAATAAACGTGACAAGTTCCTGCTTTCCATCATGAGTAACTTGTGGGTTCTGACACTTCTGCTAGCATAAATCCTTTGCATTTGCTGCTATATTCGTTAAAAAATTCCTTTTCATCCATGTTGAAGATCTGCAAAGCTCATAGCCTATTATGTCAGATTATATAGCCTAGTTTTGTAAAATAATCCTGCAAAAGAAGAGGATCATTTGCATATGATCTCCGCCTTTCCAGTTGAGTACTAAGCTTAGTGACTAACTTAGGATTACGGTTGAGAAAACTGCTGATCCAGTGTCCACCCAATAGTGCCTGCAAATGACTTGTATCAATTCTCCTTGATTCCAAGTGCATCGCCATATCTTTCACCATATGCAGCCATGGTAAAAACCCTCAGTCATCCTGATCCTCTTACCATTTGATAATGGCCTTCTCCCCAGCTGGTATTATATGCTGCTAATCTTGATGTGCTTCTACCTGACTCGTATGGATTCCTGCAACTTGTCGGTAAAGGGTTCACCTATCAACCCTAAATTCCTCTGCCGCTTCTGCTATCGAAACAGGATTTTCAGCTCTTCTGACAGCCTTAACTGCCCTTTGAAGCTGTTCTTGATACTTTTCTGGCTTTTACTTTACCCATTGTCGGAGGTTGTTTGTTGCTACTATCACTACTACAATCAAAAGCGGAGATCAAAATGATGAACCCTGGTGTCTCAGAGCATGTCAGCACAGTGTGTCACATCCCTGTCGTGTGTCACATCACCGCTAAGTACGTTAAGAGTTAACTTCTACCTGACACCTATATTGGCACAGCTTGCAAAGAAGGTGGCAATGTGGCGGAATTAGGCTGCTGTTGAACATACTTTGGGATGGAGTTTTTGAACTAGTTTTGTTCAACAGTCTATTCGGTTGAGCTGTCCGGCACTCTGTAGCGGTGTGATCAAACTTTGCAGCTCACTTAGTTTCTTTCGAAGTGGCGGGAACATTGGCACGATTACAGACAGACCAACGTCAGATTCAGCTGAAAGTCACTTTCAGGCTTAAACCAAACCAACGTCTCACCACATGAAGATAAAGATTGTAAAAGAGCAGAGGTAAAATGGTGAGAAAGCCGGAATGACATTTAAAGCATCAGAGAGTGCTTGTTAGTGGTTCGTAATTCTTAAATTCAAGTTTCCAAATTGAAAGTGATGTTGAGCCAAATCTGACGTTGAGCTGTCGAGTACTCTCTGGAGAGAGTCCTACGGCTATCATATTGTGCTTCTCCTGCCCGATATTTCTAACCAGAATGTTTCTGCCGGGCCGAAAGAATTCGGGTCCCATTGTCACGGTACGGTATTGCATCTTTTTTTTTCTTCCGCTAGACGTTGAACACTAGCACCCACAATTTAACACATCACCAATAGACTATTCGTAAGGTTTCGCTCGTCACACAGTGACACACACTCTAGTTTTAGATATCTTGGACAGGTACCGGTACTCGAGGAGGAATGTTTGTTGAGCCAATCGAGAATATTTCTATTTACCAGTGCATTGTGTGGTGAGCTCTTCGCTTCGACAAACCGTTTGTCATGTGTGTGTGCATGTGTGTTCAGGGACATTTTTGCTTTGAGTCACTTATCTAATCACGTTAACCCGCGAGCTCACCAACTCGAACACGTCCCAACTCCCCAGGCAAGGGTCTACTCGAGTAGGAACGGGTGAGGAGGATCAAAAGCCGGGTAATTCCCGCTTCTCGTAGATCTCCACAAGTTTAAGCTCGCTTCCCTCACCTGCCCCCAAATCGAGAGGCAGCTCACGCTCTCATTCACTCACGGACTCACTCAGCCCACCCCCGCCAAACACTGTGCCCACGCGGTAGTTTCTTCCTCTAACACCTTATTTGCTGCCATTGCTTTTCTTTCCCTTTCACTCCCTCACTCTTCTTGCTCATCTCAATCCTCCTCCTTCGGCTCCTTTTTCCCTCTCTCCTGATAGTAATAAAGTTTGTCCCACCCCCACGGTGCGCTCCCATCTTCAATATGCCAGATCGTTCAAATGTCATTTCTCTCGACGACATGATCGCACGCGGTAATTTATCATCCATCCTCTTACGCGTTGAGCCTACCTGAGTTCGTTATGCTGATGTTATCTTGGCCGGGGGGGGGGTGGGATATCAGAGCGCAGAGCTAGAGCTTCTGAAGTTGCTAGCGCAACTCTCGGAAAAGCACGCACCCAAGCGAGCGGCGATATTCTCCTGCCAAATACGCATCGAGGAGGAGCCGCTGGAGGAGGAGGAAAGGTATGCAACTGCCGCCAATTTTTCTCACTATCTCGGGGGCTTATAAACCCGGGAGTGAGCCACTCCCCGAGAAGAAACGTGGGAGAGAAATGCCTCCGTCACCACCTATTCCCTACCTCCCTCTATGTCTCCTGCAATTTAATGACCGTCTTTTTTTCTTCTTCTTTGCCTTCGTTTTCCATCGTGCCTAATGCCAATATACTTTCTCTAGCGGACAGGCGCCTCCGGAAGCGGCATGAGCGGCGGTAGTGGCTCAAACGGAAAATGGACGCACGACCTCCACCGTAAGGTCAATCCAAATGCCTCGCGAGTATCCAAGCTTCCAACAACCCTCTCGCCGGCCGTCGCACGATCTCTGCAAAACAACCGACTCTTCGCCGCTCTTCATGGCACTTCAAATACCTCCATAGCAACCTTCCCCCCCATCTCCGCCTCAATGAACACACCTCCAATCGGGCTGAGGAATAGTAGCAACGGCGGCGGTGGCGATGGACTCAACATCCGCGGCGCATCATCCCTGTCTCCCGCCGGCTTCTCGATCAGAGGCTCTGCAGGTCCATTTGTCGTGCAGGCCGCAAACTTCGCACCAGGGACTACTGCCGAAGACGTCAAAATGGCCATGCGGGATCTTGGCAGGATCCTCAGTTGCATAGTGCTATCCCCTACGCCATCAGTCACTTGCGAGATAGTCTTTGAAAAGAAAGAAGCAGCGGATAATTGCATCGCGCAGTTCCATAATCAACTCGCCGACGGTAGCCTTTCTCCCCCTTCACAATCTGCGAAAGCAAAAAAAAGCAAGAGCTAATCATGAATGAACGAACATGACAGGCCGTAGATTATCACTAACCCTCAAAGAAGGCCCCCCAATCAGTCGCCTGATGCAGAACCAGAATTCCACTCTCGGGAATTCCTCCGCCCGTCTGAACTCCCTCTCGTCTTCACACACCAACCCCAACGCCGCCAGGGAAGAAGCAGACCGTCAGAGGCGGCAGGCAAACGTTAGCTTTCAGGATGGGAGTTATGGGGTGCGCCCGCCGCCGTTGTACTCTGATGCGCTGGTGCAGAAGGGCCGGGGATTCTCTTCGAGGTAGATTTGTGGTGGAAGAAGCGCTTTTGTCTCTACTTCTATTTCTATTATCGTATGTGTAGGCTTACCGGTGGGAACTTTTTTTGTGCCTTCTGTGTTCGTTTGTTCGCTCGCAGGTTGGGGGATGGGAATTCAAATGAGGTAGTCAATGTTCAATTCCGGATACGGAAAAGGAAGCGGGCGTCCCTGGAACACACGATTTATTAGAGACCCACGAATTCTCCCTGCCTGCCAGTGCCACCTCCTCCCACCCCTTTCCTCCCTCCCTCATCCCATACCCCCGGCAACTCACTCATGTACCAATATATCAGCATAACTTGACCATTTCTTCCTTTTTTTCCCTCCGCCCATCTATCTTTCTCTCACTATCCCTCCCTTCTACTCGCCATATGTCTCGAATCTTCCTTCCAGATTTAGCCTGGGGGATAATCTCCTTTTCCTTCTTTTTCCTTTTCTTTTTCGCTCTTGGAGACCGAGGGGTGGGAGAGGAGGAGGGGTAATTATTAACACTCAACAAATGGACATAAATACAGGATATATCAGATATAGGATGTATTAAGTCAAGGCAGGGAGATATTCCTCGGATTGGAAGTGTTTGGCTGTGCCTTGTCGGTACCAGCTCGGCAATTGATTCAGTGTTTGACGTTGTGCAGTCTGTCACGGAACAAATCGAATTCCGCTTCGCGCGGGATGACACTCCTACAATAAACTCTCGCTCCCAAGTTACCACAACGTTACCGGCATCCTAATAGTATAGTACAGTACAAATACATGGGATCAGCCTCAGGTCCTTCTCCCGGCCCGCGCTAAGTCAATATTACACAAACTCGGTCATTGACACACCAAAATCCAGATCCCTTCTAGAACCGATAGGAGAAGCCACAGCACATGAAAACCAAGCCGAAAACTTAATGGATAAAGGGAAAAAAAAGGGAAAGAAGAAAAAAGTAAGGGAACGGTATTTTTAGTTCATTGGTGAAAGGAAAAACAAAAGACCCCCACCCTCAGCGCATAGCAGTGCTCACTCCGAGGCCTTTTTCCAAAAATACTTCCCCCACCTCCAACTTATGGGTGGGGAAATCTGGGGCGTTACACCGATGAACAAGCGTTCGGCGGCGGGTAGGGAATCGACGTATCTGATAAACCCGCAATATCAGCGAAAATAAATCCCTGCATGGTATCATAACAACGAGCCAGTGCCCTATGACAGACAATAGCTGAGGGGCTGACGCCGTGGCTCAAGACTTACCGTAACCAGGTGTTTGTAAGAACCATCTGTTTTACCGCCACTTCAGCCCCGTCAAAGACCTTTTCCAGGTCCTCTGGAACCCATGGTAGTTGGGAACTAGAATGGTCTAGAGGTAGGCTTCTGCTGTAACTGCTCCTGCCTTTGCTTCGGAATATTTCTCACGGATCTCCCGAAACCCTTTCCGATCTGGGAGGCGGCTCCCATATCTCGAAAATGGGGGAAAGGAGGATAATAAACTCCATTGCTCCTAGACTTGGTACTGTGCAAACCTAGGGGGAATCCCTTTAGTACTAGCTCTTTGTGGCAACGTTACTTAAGTGCTCACCATAGGATTGGAGGCCAATAAGAATCCATAACGTAGAATTCAGGTGTGAACTAGGTTGATAGTCATAGTGGCGGGACTGGAAGACTGTAGGGTACGAAAAAACTCATTAGGACAAATATTTCTCCAAGCATAGAATGACGAGAGCCACCCCAAAGAACGAAGACTCTTGCCACCTTCATCACGTCTTAGAAGGATTGCCCACCTGGATAGTATAACCAACGTGGTTTGTAGTCTCCATCAATTGGTGTCTTGAATCTTTCTGATCTTGCAAAGTATAAAGGGCCCAAACCCAGAGCTCTAAATGTCTTGCAAGGCACCAGGGGGGGGGGGCGGACACAATGTTAAAAATAATCTGGAAACGCTCCCATCTTATCTGCATCGTGAGGGGGGGCAGTGATTATGCATGGTGTGGGTGCTACATACCACCCCCACCAGGCGCTGGACTGGAGTACTGTACTCGAGTACCGTACAGTACGGTACCTGATGTCGACACAAAGTCGTTGTTTGTGTGGAAACGCCGAGATATAAGAAAGATGGTCTAAGGATAAGTTACTAGTTGAGATCATGTAATGATTTTAGTACTCTCTGCGCAAGATCTCACAAATCCTTCCTCCGATAGATGGTTCATTGCCCCCCCCTCCCTGCGCACAGACTATATAAGTTACCTGCAGGACTTTCCCGACGAGTTGTTATAATGTAGTTTTTCTCAGAATACGGATGTTTCGCCACCGTTTCTAGCGGCGGTGAAAATGTCTAGTAATGTCACGTGGGTGAGAAAAGTACTTTACGATATCATAAGCTAGGCACCCGGGATTCCGGCCACCCCCGGATTCCGGCCGGGCGCACAAATAACGAAGTTGCGCACCAACACAGTTCAATCCATGCCAGCCCAGCAACCCGATATGGCCAATCCCCGCGAATATGCGATAGAGCAAGCACTGGAAGCCATCAAGCATGGTATAAGTGAGAGAAAAGTGTGCCTGGAGTTTAAGGTTAGCCATGGAACAATTCAAGGTCATTGGGCTGGAGCCTCTACCTCAAGTGAAAGTCATACCTTCATACAGCACTTATTGATGGACTAAGAAGATGCTCTTGTCACATGAATCTCGGGGCAAGAAGAGTAGGGCTTTGCACTTTCCCATACCTGCATTTGTGAAATGGCAGAAAAGATCATAGAGTCTGGTGGGAGGAGTGTCATAATTGGAAAGAGTTGGGTACCACAGTTTTTGTCACGACATCCAAATGTTGCTACACTTTGAGGAAAGTCAATTGATTTAAAGCGTATTTGCGGAACCCAAACAGAACTCATGAGGCGCTTCTTCAATCAATTTGATACTGTATATGCCCGCTATGGAATTCAGCAGGAAGATATCTGGAATGTTGATGAGCATGAGATTGCGCGAGCAGTATGTATCAATAAATGTGTAATTGGCAAGGCTGGAAAGAAGCACATGTACATGGAATCACCAGAAAGTCGTGAATTGGTATCGATTATCGAAACAATCAGTACTACCAGTAAGTACATTCATCCAGTTGTGATCTTCAAGGGCCAAAATGTTCAAACATCATGGTTTGAAGAGGACGATCTACCAAACTGGTTAATCGCAACATCAGGCAAGGGATGGACGACAAATGAAATTGCAACGAAATGGCTCTGCGAGGTCTTCCTACCAGAAACTATTCCAAGTACCGTCAATCAGCGGGGTATACCCTATCGATGAATGTTGATTCTAGATGGGCATGAGAGTCATGTTCAATTAGACTTTCTTTGGGAATGCTGACAAGCTAATGTGGAGCTTTTATTCTTTCCTGTACACTCCAGCCATATCCTTCAGCCTCTAGATCTTAGTACTTATGCTCTTCTCAAGTCATATTATCACAAATGTATTATAGAACTTGTACAATTTGATGATGCTGCATGGTGAAAAAGAAGCACTTTGTAAAATGCTATTAACAGGCACGGGATGAAATCTTTAATCTTCGTTACCTACAGGGTGGCTAGAAAGTAGTAGGACTTGTTTCTTGGAACCAGGAGAAAGCTCAAAACTCGCCACAAGTCCATTCCAATGAATCAAACTCAAACCCGAACTCAGATCCCCAACCGCCTCAAACTCTCAAGTGATTACATACAATTCATAGCACTCCTCCGCCACTCCATGATCTATTTCATACTCCAACTCACTCTTCAGATCTCCACTACTCAATCAAATCCCTAGGAGTAGCTGGAGATATGACCCAAGATCTCTGCACTGTCTTGAACAAGATAAGTAAGGCTTTCAGGCAGCTCACAACCCAACAAGCATTTATTCAATTCTCGAATCAACAACTACAACAACGATTGAAAGAGTTGGAAGATAAACGCAAGAAAAAGAAGGTTCCAGTGGATCCTAATCTTCAATTTATAAATCTTAAAAGTATTAAACAGACTATAGAGGAGGCAGCAGTACAGGAAGCCCCGATTCAGGCTAGAAAACCGGATGAAGAGGCAAGATGAACCTCTGCTGTGCTTATAGCAGCCGATATGCAGCAGTTTATGTCAGAATGGCAGGTTTAATGGTTCAGAGTCATTTAATCTAATTTCACCTACTTGTTGTGGAAAGATTGAGTTCATGGGATTGACTTCATGTTTGTTGGGTGGCCAGCATCTAGGATGCTTATCTTACTTGTATTGCATGGCACAAGCTTGTAGTACAGAAACAAAATTGTACTCTATTCACCTGCGAGGACTACCATACTACAACTCTCTCTATGATACCACTTCAGGTTAAAAAATTAAAAATTAGAAAAATTGAATGACATGCATTAGGTTAGTCTTATACTAAAACTTGAGGAAGCTTTAGATATATTTAATCTATAATAATGTATCCTACATAATCGTGCCAAGATTGTGGAAGTGACCCACTGTTGCTTTCACAACTTGGTCACTCTCTTGAAGAGAGTACAGTTGTATCAATTTAATAATCATACCCCTGTGTAGCACCTATGTAATACCATCACTCCTTCATCCTACAAGCAACTATAGCCCTCCTCACACTACCTGAGTAAAAGAAAATCAGAATAAGGAAATTTATGCCCTGTATAAGCATATAGATATGGGGAAGAATAAAATAGCCAAGGCAATTGGGGTCTGCAAGGCTACTGTTCAAAAGGTTGTCACTAGAGCCAAGACAAGAGGTGGAGATACCCATTATACTTCCAAGTAAGTCCAACCCACTAAGATTACTGATGCTAAAATAAGAGACGTAGAGGCTATTATTGATGCTGAGCCTCATTTAGCTCTATGCAAAATTACTCAAAAGGCAAACATTGGTCTTGGCAAGACCACTATTGATAATATCATTTCAGAAGCTGGTTTTAAGCTTCTGATACCAAGGAAAAGGCCTTTTTGGAGGAAAGGACAGAAGGAGAAGAGAAAGGAGTTGGCTAGGAGAAGGAGGAACTGGAGAGAAGTATGGAATTGGATGGTTTTAGTTGATGAAGCCACTATCATCTATAATCCAAATCCTGTTAGGAGAGAGGTCAAGATAAGAGCTGGTGAAAAGCTGGAAGAAAAACACTTGAAGCCTAGCTTTAAGTCAGGAAGGACTAGCATTGGTATCTATGCTGCAATAATGAAGGGTGGGAGGACTGAGTTAATTCTTGTGAGAAAGAGGAGGGAGGAGGAATGGACTAGTAAAAGAGATAGACTTGGCCTCAATTCCTACCAATATGTAACTGAGATCTACCAGCCATACCTTATCCCTTTATAGAAGGTCTGGATAGACCTTCTAACAACATTTACCTAGTACAGACAATGTTTCCTGGTATAGTGGTGAGGAAAATTGAAAATTGCTGGCAGACTGTGGTTCCAAAAAGCTCCCTTGGCTACCCGACTCTCCAGATCTTAGTCCTATTGAGAACACCTGGGCACTACTCAAAAGAACCCTCAGAAATTGATTCTCAAGATTGGAAAAAAGGCCCTATAGTGCTGCTAAATTATTTCAGGCATCAAAGGAGGAGTGGGATTTGATTTCCTAAGAGATATTGGATGCTTGGATAGCAAGAATGCCAGAGAGAATTCAGGCTGTTGTGGATGCAGATAGAGGTCATACAAAATAGTAATTGGATTTCTTTGAAGCTTAGGTCATGTACGTTCATCTCTTCCTTCATTGGCTTTTTATCTTGATTTTTTGTATGGTTGAATTTATTAAGGATTGTGGTTGAGGTTGCCAGGCAGTGGTATAATTATTAAACGGACTCGACTGTACAGTCGTGTCAGAAAAGTCTATGTACTCCTTATAGCAATGGCACTACTACTACAAATAATGATATTAACTACATCAAAAAAATCATATGAGTACAATTTTAAAATAGATGAAAGTAGAAATTGAAAATAATAGTTTCCTAATGCTACTATGTTGTATGGGTTCCATCTGCATCCAATACAGCCTAAATTCTCTTAGATATTCTCTGAATCCACCCATTAAATGTTCCTTAGAGAATGAGGTTCCACTCTTCCTTTACTCCCTGAAATAACTCATTAGCACTATGGGGCCTTCTTTCATCCTTGGAGAATCTCTTTCTGAGGGCTTTGTTGAGAATTGCTTGGGCATTCTTAATAGGATTGGACTCTGGTGAGTTGGGAGGCGAGGCCAATCTCTGATATCCACAGTCCTCTTGCAATCTTTTGTTTTCTGTTCCATTATGCTATGAGGTATTATCAGCAGCCATATAAATGGTTTTAGGAGTGCTATTTATCTCTTCTATGAAGGAGATAAGGTATGGCTGGTAGATCTCAGTTGCATATTGGTCGGCATTGAGATCAAGCCTATCTCTCTTGCTGGTCCTTTCCTCCTCACTCCTCTTCCTCACTGGAATCAGCCCAGTCCTCCCTCCATGTATCATTGCAACATATATACCTATATTAGTATGTCTTGACTTAAAGCTAGGCCTTAAGTTCTTTTCTTCCAACTCTTTACCTGGTCTAAGTCTAATCTTTCTTCTCACATGATTTGGATCATATTTAATTGTGGACTTATCCACAAAAACAACTTATTTCCAAGCTCTTATCCAGTTTCTCCTGACTCTAGCAAACTCTTTTCTCTTCTCTTTCTGTCCTTTTCTCCAAAAAGGCTTTTTCCTAGGTATTCTATGCTTAAAACCAGGTTCTTTGAATATCTTGCTAACAGTATCTTTTCCACGACCAATATTGGCTTTGTGGATAATGTCTCTTAGTGCTAAATGAGGCTCAGCATCGATAATATCAAGAATTACTTGCCTTTTGGCATCAGTAATCTTGGTTGGTCTGCCAGATCTGGAGGCATCAAGGGTGTTTCCATCTCTGGATTTCCTATTTTTGACAACTGTTGAAACAGTTAACTTGGAGAGGTACATAATCTTTGAAATTTTACGATACCCCCTATCAGTATGTTTATATAGGGCATAAATTTCCCTTCTCTGGTTTTCTCTAAGTGTTTGAGAATGTGGTAGTGCTATGGTAGGAGGAGTAGTATAGAGG